GGGTTTAGGTTGTAGGGTTTAGGGTCGAGGGCGTCCTTGTGTTCTGACAGCTTGTCCATGCTAGGACCTAGGATTGCTGCTGCCGATGCGGAAACACTAAAGTGTAACCTTATTCACGCCGTATTTGTAGTGGGTCTCATATGCAAGTCGGAATAGCTAGTAGTAGCATGTTCTTACAGCACCATGCAATGTACACAACACAAGAACCAATTCTAGTGATCGGGTCCCGTTTTGGGTATGATCGGTGACTATCCCTAAACCATAAACCCTAAACTGCTAGCCTTTATCTCATGAGCCCAAACCCGCCGAAGGTAAAGCTTTCAATGCTCAAGTGGACTGGGCTGTCATGCAACAGAGCGGGAAGGATGCTATAGGAGCCTAAATAAATAATTACCNNCGTATTATGATTATAGTATAATGGGCACAGGGCCCCTATATCAGCATCTTCCCTCGGGCCCGCATAGACTTTAAATTCCTAAACCTGAGACCCCTGTAAAACCCTTACAGAGCCCATCTGAAGCCTGAAATTCGCCCTGAACCCTTTATTCTAAAGCCCAAACCCGATCCCAGGTGGATGGAACAGCGGAGCACAGGGAGGCGGCCAGGGTTGGCAAGAAGGCTCGGGCCAGTGGTTGCGGACCCAGTGCTGCTGTTTTTAGGGGTTAGGATTGCTCAGGGTTCAGGGTTAGGGGTTTTCTCTATATAACATCGCTGACAAAAGCCCCTGTAGCCCTATTCCAATTGTTCTGGCCCCAGTCTTAAGGTCCGGCCGCAGTGCGGGACCACGGATTCCAATATCTCAGAACTACGGAATGTGCCTGAAACGATATTGAGTTTGCTGAAGCCCAACTCCTAGAGCCTACCCCATTCCCGTAGCCCTAAATTCTAGAAACCCTAAAGCCTTAAGCCTAAACTCGAACTCCTCTCCATAAGCCCAGTCCACCAGGGACGGATCCCAACGGCTACCACCGTGGATATTGGAGCGGTGGCCTGGCCGCGGTTGGGGGCTTCTCATCATCATGATCATCATCATCA